ATTTTATCGGAGATATTTTTTTATTTATTGTGTTTAACATTCACTACTCTCTTGATTTTATCCTAATTTATGACACTCCAGCCCTTGGGAATCTGAATTATTGCTATTTCGAACCATATCAATAACTTTTAAATTTTATGCATATACAAGGAATGAATAAAGGAAAACAATTTTATATCTCCATTTCTAATTTGTTTAGAGTGCCATTTCCCTGCTAGAGTGCTATTTTAAAGTACCATGGAGGTGAGTGCCATTTCACATAGTTTACAGAGTAATAAATCCTTTTTAATTTTCGTATGGATAAGTGGAGATATGTTGAAGATATCACAATTTTTGTTATTTTCGAAAAAAAAACAACAACGAAGATTCCACCTTTAGTTTTAATTTTGAGTTTAAAACTTTTGTTTTTCGATTGCTATTAAAATTCTTACTTAAGAAAGCAATTCGAGGTCACTTGTAATTGTGAATTTCTAATCTATTTCGGAACCTAGACTAATTTATAAATATTGAAATACCAGGGAGGATAAGAGGAGACATTCGGATTCGTGTAAAACCCTCACCCTCTAACACAAAGAGGAGGGTGGCCACGTGTCGACCTTGACCGAAGGTCACCGCTCTCGCTATGTAGTTCTCCCCTCGTTATTATGAATAGAGTAATAATGAAGGTAATAACAGATTTATTTCCCTGGGGATAATCTACGTCTCAATCACTCAATTATGTCGACGTCTTCCTCATCGTACTTAAATACAAGCTCATCGTATTTTACAATCCGCATCAAAGATTCATTGCCATTTAAAATCATCTTAATCTTCGAAGAACTAATCGAAGTACTGATCACGAATAAATACCGTTATTTTGTATCTAAACGTAATCATGCAATTGTATTTTTGTACAGAAAAGCTGAATTTTATAAGAACATTATGCGTTCTTATAAAACGCTGCATAATCTTAGCTATTCTGAGCTTTAGCAGAATACTAGAACACAAAAAGTTCCCTAAGGAATCCTATGCTCTGATGATTTACATTAGGGAAATTGTAAGATTCAAGATAGGGAAAAAAGATTTTTCTAAAGGTTTCTTTGGATAAAAAAAGTATCAATTGGTGAAGCCGATAGTTCACCTCACCATTAACAGTAATAGTTTTTTTGTAGGTGGATAATGAATCAACATATTGAAGTAATTCGTCCAATGAAGTTTTTATATAATAACATATAATTAACTTGAAAAATATATATATATATAGGTATATTCGAGATTTTTCTGTTTTAGTGAGATTTAGGCGTTCCTATGAGAGAAAAAAAAAGATTTTTAAAAGCATCAACTTAACAAAAGCTCCAGGTCGATCAACGGCTGATGTAATAGAGTGAATTTTCTTCAGTTTCTTACAAGAGCCGGATTCGAACTCGGGACTTGGATCATAGGAGCTCAATGCCTTATTCTCTGAGCTACCCCCACTTTCAACAAAAAAAAAGAAAGAAAAGGTTGATGAAATAACATCCGCTCGCCATAACATGACGAATGCCTTAACTATCTGTTCCACGAAAAGAAAGGACAAACGTGTGAACCCGGAGGCTTCAAGAACAAGAGGATGGACCACTCCCCTTGGTTTCTGCTTCAGTCAAGGACGTGCACCTCCTCTCCGCTCTGAAGCACCGGAACTGAGATAACCTCTCAACAGTCCATCAAATTATCATCCTTTACTACGCCCCGGCTTCAAGGTTACCTGGATCCGGATGGTTTCTCAGGCTTTACAATGGGAAACGAGTGCTCGATAGTGAAGAACAATAGTACTTTGGATTTTAAAGTCCATTCCCATCCTTAAAACAAGGACTTCTCCGTTCATCTCAGTTCGTATTAACAAGCATATTACATAGCAAATATTCAGAACCTATAAACTATATAAATTTATAATTTATTTATATTTTGCTTCTTTCTGCTCCATTTATGATAGCCATTACGGAATTCAACATACGCTATGGAGATGAGTACCGCATTGCTGATATAGTTGGCGGTACATACAAATTTCTTTAACGGTAACCTGTAAGTTTTATATTTACGAAAATTCTCGAAAATTGGTCTTTTTCAATGGAACCCAAGTTCTAACGATCGTTCGGCTGGAAATGAGTCCGAAACAACAAATCCTATAACCACAATCCAAATAAATACTATATAGTTATGATTGTGTTTAGAAGTTTTTATTTTATTTTATTTATTTATTTATTTTTTCTTTTTATTTATTTACCTTCTTCATCAGTATTATTTATTTACTTCTTATATTTATATTTATTTCTTTATTATTTGTATATATTGTATGAATGAGAACTTTTAGCCCTAATGCTTATAGCCCTCCAGCAGTGGCTGATTGTATTATTATTCAATAAATAGATTTCAAAAAAAAAAATAAATAAATAAATACTAGGGGTAATAAGCATTGCTGTTATAGCTCAGAATCATTAATCACTATAAGGTTTTATAATTGTGGCATTTACACTAATATAGATATATTACATCTAGAGAAATGTATTACTTTTCTTTTATTGATTTTTCATGATAATTATTTTCAGACATTTTTTTGTTACCATATTCTTGAGATACTATTTTTAAGAAACAATTTCTGTCCAATTAAAGTATTTTAAATACATATCTTTATTTCCAAAAAAAGAATATTTGCGCCTTGTTAAATAAATATAAAATCCGTGTTAAACATGATTTTTCTATGAATCACAAAATACAAAAGAGAGTGTATCTCTATGAAAAACATACATAACGTCTAATTTCCATATCTTCTGACAAGGATCTGTTGATCCTTTGAGAAAATGAAGCAATCTCTTCTTTATAAAAAAGTTTAAAACACTTTTTCATAGTATGATCAATGTGATCTTGTCACAACTGTTAATCAGAAATGTATGATATAATTCAGAAAAATATGATATATTTTTTCCAACTATTCGAAGCCTGTTTGAACCTGATATTTATGATTGTATAGTGAAAAATTACTTCTATTATAATGTATTTTTCTTATTGAAGGAAGTTAGTATACATCTCTACATGTCATAGGTGAAAAATATTCAGGACGCAGTCATTTTTAAGGTTTTTATTTGTGCCGACGTTTCAACCCAAGCATGTGGGTTATCATCAGGGCGTATTTCGAGCACTGAAGTTATTCAAGTACTGAAATGCTTGGGTTGAAAAGTCGGCATAAACAAAAACTTTAAAAATGACTGCGTCCTCACTATTCATCATCTATAGATTTTTCTTAATAAGCATTACCAAACTGACGTTTCGGATACCTCCTCCGTCACCAGAGTTCCATTTTAAGAATACAATGCAAGCATTTAACCATTAATCACTATCAATAAATAAATATAAAAACTATAACACTAAAAACGTTTAACTATCTATCACCTTTAAGAATTATTGCCCTTAATATAAGATTTTTCCTGAACTACAATTCATATAAAAATATTGATTGAAAATAATTAAATTAAATGCAACTATTCAGTTTAAAACGAATGTTCTTTGTAAATAATAATGAATAAATACATCAGGTCCACAATTCGGCAAAAGTAAAAGAGCTTTTATTATAATCTACTATTTTCATTATTTTTATTCATGTCTCCCCCTCAATGAAATGTGGGCTATAGCTTTTGGATATATTTTGATTTATTAAAAGTGATAATGATTACATTGTTCTGTTGCTTTCTTATGATAGAATCCTGATTATAGAGGAGATATCGTCCAAAACGTCGATTTGTAAAATTTTTATTACAAAGAAATACATTATATTTGAATTAACTTTTCACTACATAAATACAGATATCTAAAAAATTATAACAAAATTTTTTTTTTCAAAACCCATTGTATCAGATAATTGGTGAAAATTCGATTTGAATTAAATTGTAGGTTTTGCAAATCTGATACGTCAAAGGCGCCAGGAAAAAACGTGCAGCTCCATGTATTGTGGAATGGGATTCCCCATAATAATTTTTTTTTGCTTTACTGGATTGGAAAGTTCGAATTCCTAATCGCAGTGGTTCTTAGTAAGGGTTTCTAATCTATCAGCTACAAATTTGTATAATATTCAGAATGATGAACTTGCTATACATCAAGCCAATCAATTCTTGGAAGTTTGGTACATTTAAATAAGTAAGAAGTATTTGTTTATAAGGGTTTGTTGGCCATAAGCTATAATATAAAAAATTAGTTCCTTAGATAAAATCTACCTAAATCAGTGTTTTTAAAATTTTAAAAATAATTTTCAAGTCCCATGTTTTATAATATATACGATTTTAAATAATTCACTCGTTGAAATTTTATATGTATGTTATTAGCATGTGTGGCTTTTTCATCTTAAATTAATTAAGCAACTAATAACTACATAAGTAAAATGTAATACCAACTTCAATAAATTTTCTACAAGTAGATAGATTCTGTACATTAATTACATTACTTTATACTATATTTAACACCATAGATATATTTAAAACTATAGATTTTACTCAAGCACTATTTTTTAAGTATGTACAAAGGGCTTTGCTCTGTAAGCTGTTTTCAGCAAAATTTTGTGCTATTCTAAATATTTGTAAGCTTAGCAACTAGGGATGCAAAATTACTTTATTTTCATTAATTTTTATTATTTTAAGTTAGATGAAAGGGGTTGAAAATCACGACTTTATGAAGGCAAATATACTTATCTAAAAATATTATTGAAGTTGAGTTTGATTTGTAGTAGTAAAACATTCATATATATGTATTTCATTTATGCCATAATGGTAAGTTATCAAGTGAAACGGAAGATTTAAGTTAAAAGTTCTCTTTAAGAAAAAGTTATGCACACGTACTTGCACCTTATCAGTATTATGTACATGCACATGGTCTCTTGCATAGCATAACAAATAATAACGCAATCCAGTTCATCTTTACCTGTTTATGTCGACACCTGAAAAATATCTCAATAGTGAAGAAGAGTTACGTTAAGTATTATGTATTTAGGCACTTACCTGTGTGTAGACGAGGGGGACCGTGACGTTATCGTAGCCGATGAGGCTGCCCAACCTCCACCTGATATCAGACATTTCCATGAGGATGGTCTGTACGAGATGGTCGGAGGATATCAAGGAATCCTTCCGGGCCCTGTTGATGATGTTGGTCGCCCAGGTCAGAGGAAGCCAGTACTTCGCCATCGGGTGCCTTTCGTCCAGCATCTCGAAGATCTTCTTCTCGCTCTCCATCATGAGACCTGATCATCCCAGCCTATTCGTCAGCCATTATACTAAGTCCCCCCTGAGGTCATGCATTGCCTAATTTTCAATGTGGCTTAGTCAATTTTCGATTTGTCAAAAAGAAGTTCAAATTTCGCAATTAATCTACCTAATACAACAGCTGTATGCCTCAGCTCTCAGAATGAATTCCTAAGTGAGATCATTCTGGAGGAAACCTTCTTCATGAAGGATAAATGCATGAAATGTATATGATGTTAAAACATGAGAAACCAAATCACAAATGGACGCTATTATTATTTTTATTTTTTGCCAACTGGCCTGGAAAATTAGTGTTCCAGAAACATAAAGATCTTTCCAACCGCAAAAGCAAAATATGACATACTTTTTCTGCTCGGTATACATTAAAATTATTATTATTTAGTTTTTTATAAAAATAATCTTTGAATAGTTTTCTGTGTTCATGATCTCAGGACGTCTTCCTGTGTTTTTTCGCGATACTACTCAGAAAAACTGTTTATTACAGTTTGTTCCATGTTACTTTAAGTCCTGGAAATTTGGTTCTTAGGAATAGACAAAAGAACGCCAAAGAAGTAAAATCGAACGTATTAAGTGAGTCGTTTATTTCCAAAGTGAAGCCTAACCACTATTGACAATTTTCTGGATTCTATACCAAGATAATTTAGTATAAAAACAAAATATTTTAAAAAAATTAAACTTAAATAGAACCTCTTTTATAATGAATTGAATACCAAGACAAAAAAAAAAAGTTGATTGGAGTTCGATTTGGAGGGAAAACATGATGTTATTCGGGAGGACAAGTTATAAAATTTTACCATAAACAAAAATTACTTTATATAAACATTTTATTGTTATTTTTCTATGGAATAAAAAAATATTAAAAAGTTTTCGGTGAATATTGTTCTAAAATGAGAAATCATTAAATTCCGTTAAAAAAAAAAGGACCGGTTTTAGAAATAAAATGGAAACAAAATTATTTGAATAGCACTTTCTTTTAATGTTTATGTTCGTTTTTAAAAGTAAATACTTGCCTCATCGGATTCCTCGAGTGTTTTTCACGTTGAAATCGATACATACCTTGATTGATAAAAATATCGATTAGAGTTTACTTTGAAATAAGCGACTCATATTTTCAGAATATATTAAATAAGTAATGTTTGTAAGACTATTATTTTTTCTATTTTAATTTAATTTAGTGATTTTTTTCGATGATAATATAAGTATTTGTCGAAGTTTTTAATTCTTCTTTTACATAAAAGAAATATATTTTTCATGCTATATTGAGAATTATTTCCTTTTTGCATTATCGGTCTTCGTTTTTTATATAATACTGATCAAAATATTTTATTATATTAACTATATTGTAAGACATGTTAGCAAAACTGACAAAACAGAATCTTTGGGGGAAAAAATAGTTTAATTTTTAGTTTAAATCGATAAAAATATTTGAATTCAATAATTTGACTCTTGATTTTTTTTTTAAATTATTATGAGCAGAAAAAATACAAGCGAACAACTACATTAAGAACATCGATGCTTCTGTCGCCACAAGTCGTCTTGAGATGTTGGCGAGGGTTGAGCTGCAGCTATAAAGTTTACGACATAGGCTGCACAAGTAATCACAAATACACAAAGGAAGCCAAATACAAAACACAAACGCAACAGAACATTGCATTAATCAGACAGAGCATTGAACTAGTCCCAAACGGTCTGCAATGTTAAAAGGGCCTTCTTTACCAGGGAAGAAGCTACTCATTTATTAGAAATTAGCTACAGTTAAAACTATATTTCTATTTCTGCAGTTATGTGCAAGTCAAACGTTTTAAAAATAATTGGTGCAAAACAACCATTGATCAACTTTCACTTAAATTCGTTTAAAAAGTTCGGAAATTAATTAGTACTATATTTGGAACAGTTAAGCTTTGAAATTGATAAAAAAAAAAACCTCAGCTATAATAACTAATAAATTCTACCAAAATGTAACGATTATTTCAAAATTTATTGATACATAGAAAGGGAAATTATTTAAATTAAGACATTATTTTCTACGAGTTATTTATAAAAAACATGTTTTCATTTGTTCCTAGAATAACTCTAATAAAATGTTTATTTCAGTAACCGTTGTTTTTGAGCAGTTTTTTTTTCTCGCTTAGAATAAAACGCATATTTATTTAAACGCCCATTTAAATCAGCACTAGCATGCTGATGATGGTTTCATTTTATTAAAAATTTATTTTAAAAAATATTTTATTAATTTTCAAATTGGTTAAATACACACACGGAGATAAAATACAAAATAAAATTTTAAAAAATCAATCACAAATTTTTACTTAGATTATTTTATTCTAAGTAAAATGAAACATTTCAATTCGATAGCTCTAATTTAAAGAAAGAGAAAGGGTTTCAAGTTTTATATTGAGCAAGGAAAATATTACTCAAAAATAAGAGTTATTAATAACTTTAAAAAAAAAAATGTTCTAAAAGTGATAGCTATTTTTTTATCCAAAACAAATAATTAGAAAAAGGCACATGATTTTTATTTCATGAACTAATAATTCATATTCACCCAAATACATAAATAATAAATAAAAATTTTATTTTAATTTTTTTTTTTTTTTTGGTGTTATCCTCTCTCTCTCTCTCTCTCTCTCTCTCTCTCTCTCTCTCTCTCTCTCTCTCTCTCTCTCTCTCTCTCTCTCTCTAAATACATTTTTTTTTTTTTTTTAATTTACATAGAATATTCTTTATATTAAGTTACTTTTTTTTTCATTAAAAATCTGTACAAATGAAACTAGGATTTTAAAACTGTACGGAACAATATTAGCATTATTAATTTTTTTCGACGATATTATAAACACAATGTTTTGGAAAATATAGTACTATTTACTATCTAATTCTGATTTTAAATAATAAAATGACAAACCACTATAAAAAAAAAAATCTCTACTGCTTTGAAGCTCTCAAACGTTGAATAGGTACTCAAAATAAGGAAGGTGATATACTCTACTGAAGTGCTTACGCTACAACTGGCACGATGAGCTCAAATAGCAATCAATAATAAAGTGCACTTGATATGAGTGGTAGAACTTACTTTGATTTGCTACTCAGATCATAAATGCTTCTAATATCTATTTTTATTTTTATCCTGAAGAAGGTATTTTAGCTTGATTGGTTCAGATTACACATGTATAGATTGATTATTTTAAAAGTATTATTAGTTTTTTTTAATTTATAGCTCCAGTTTAAATTGTAAAAAAATACATTTTCAATTAGAATTTGAATAAAAAAACCGCCTTTCAAGTCGGAATATAGAAAAGCTCATCTCTGACAGGTAATAATTAAAATTAAAATATGTTACCACAAAAAAAAAATATTTTTCTTCTAAATAAATACATTCTTTATTTATTTATTATCTTTTATTTATTTTAGTACTTTTGGTATTAAAAAATAAATAAATTAAAAATGATTGATAATTAAGAATATTAATTATTATCTATATTTTTATTTTTGTATTTATAGTTAATTAAAAAAAACAAGAAACTGTTATGAGAAACACAGAATAAATGACGAAATAACTCGACGTAACCCGTGACCACCTATGCGATGTGACAAAAGTAATAATTCGTCTATCAATAACTGCAGAAATAGAAATATACACAAAGTAAGTTGTTTATGAGTGCACCAGGCGTTATTCCTGGCCGTTATTTGTACGACGTACTCATAAACTCTACCCCTGAACCACTACAATAACCCACATGTAATGCAACTGTGAAACTGTGGGTTCCTAATACTGTCTCAGTCCTTTTGTAAATGATTTAATGTTCTTATAGATTACTTTTTTTTTCTTTTAAAGTTTTGACAAACTCAGTAATACAGTAGTCATGGTTTTTATTGGTTTGGATAAAATTTTTGACATTCAAGATTGATATAGTCAGATCGTGGTACTTTCTTTCCGGGATTCGCGATAGCCAATCAACCTTGGACAACCCCCAATTTCGACAGAGATGATACCCAAATCATGTTCGTCCGAACCACAGGTAATTGCAAACGTGACTCCTGCGACCGCGCTCACCTTATTCCTAATATTCCTAGACTACGCGGTTCAGCCAAAAATAGAGAAATACACTAATATTACTCCTCAACACCGATTCCTTGTGGGATGAGGAATTACGAAGGTACAATTTTTTAATCAATAATCAACGAAATTTTTAAAAGTAGTTCTGTTTTTTTATGTAAAATTATTGTGTTTTTATTGCAATTAGTCATTTATAAGTAGTTTTAGGAAATTTATTTAAAAATATTTTAATTTACAAACCCTTAGGCCAGAAAAAAACGTGTCCAGTTAAATATATGCATTTATTAAAACAAACGCTTTTGTTGAGCCTGATCATTAAAAAATTCTGATGAAATTTTAATGACAGTAGTATGAATAATTATCAATTCAATTTCATGGATAAAAATTCATTACTCTCTTGTTTACAGATATACCACAAGAAGATGTTTTAATATATTTCTGTTAAAAAAAAAAAAACAGAAAATTTTTGGAGGGTTTCGGTAAAAACTACGTTTGTTTCAAACCAGTGTCCATGAGCTCACTCTCTGGCTAAAAACTTTTAAAATATTTGTAGTTAAGTTAATTTATATTTTTAATTTATTGAGTTAATTTATAAATATATTTATTTCTTTTACAGGCATCATATACTATTGAATTTAATTTCTTTTTTATAGTATACATTTTAAATTTATCATATTGATCTCCACTGGGTTTAGCCCCAGTGACGCGGTTGAGAGAGAAGTGCAGGAATTTCCTGGAGTCATGTTTTTCCATCCACAGTTGGAGGGACAAGCCTGGATCGGAGTTCTCTCACCTGATTGTAAATAGTGTATGTGTTCTTTTTTATTTATTTATTTTTAGGTTATTTTATTCTTCTTTATTGTGTATATATATATATATTACTTTTCTGTATAATTTATTTTATTTATTGCACATAGAATGTGA